CCAAAACCTTAAGCCATGAACCCCACAGACCGCAATCTGAACCCCGAACCCTAAACCCACCAGAGACCTACGCCCTGAACCCGAAACCCTAAACCCTGAAAACTGAAAACCCTAAGCCCTGATCTGTCAGAGGAGGCTTTGGCTTGGCCCCTACCCTGCTTGCTTTGCAGGGCCCCTCGAATTTCTATAGAAGGGCTTGGAATCCCTAACCCCCTAAACACAGTAAGAATCTACAATAAAGTAGGCTATAGGAGCTTAACCCAACACCCTAAACCCTAAAACCCTAAAACCCTGAAGCCCTAAACCCCAAACCCTAAACCCTAAAACCAAACCCCAACCCCTAAAACCCTAAAACCTTACAAACCCTAAAACCCCTAAACCCTAGCTTTGAGGGGCTCTTTAGGGCTTTAGGGCTTTAGGGTTTTAGGGTTTTGGGGCTTTAGGTTTTAGGTCTTTAGGGTTTTAGGGCTTTGAGGTTGTAGGGTTTTAGGGCTTTGGGGTTTCAGAGCTTTAGGGCTTTAGGGTTTTAGGGTTCAGGAGTTTCGGGTTTTAGGTTTAGGGTTTACAGGGTTTAGGGTTCATGCAGGGTCCTTGTACTTAGCCTTGAACTCATAAACTTACGGCTTAGGGTTCAGGGTTTAGGGTGTCCAGTATCCGAGGGGAACTAAAGGAACACCTTTTGGTTTACATAGGGATGGTAGTACGCTTAAAGCTTACCGAATCGTCTACTTCGAAGCTGGACTGCGGTGAAACGAGGTCACTAAGTCCTCCAATTCTCTTCGGCCGGGGATGGGATCCTGATTGTGTTGACACAACATGATGCTTTCCGGCCTGGATAGTTAGAAGAGGGTTTTGGGGCACCTTACGATCCCGTTTTGTTTAAGATAAGGATTTTCAGGAATCAGAAGTGTAGTTTATCAAGGCTCAATATTAAGAACCTGGCATCGGTCATTGCGCCAAGCGGCAGGTGCCACCCACTCCTTCAGTACCCGGCAGCTTGTAGTAACCTGCTGCCGGAAGTTGGGTGGGGGGATGGTTGAGACGCTTAAGAGCCACCGCTGCTGAATCCTACAACCTGTAACTGCAACACTCCGCGCAGCCAACAAATGCGCTGACCTTGACCATCCGTTGCAAGGTGTCGTAATTCTTGGTTTCGAATTGGTGGCGCTAAAGCTTACAGTAGCACCGTCGAACTTTTTGACTGTCTGTGTCATGTCAAGCCAAGATCATGCACGTCTTTTGCATCACCATCAACCCTACACCCTAAACCCTACACTGTTACACCCCAAACCCTAAGCACGTGTCTACTGTAGGAGAAACCCGGCTATCGTCTCGACATCATGACTCGCTCGAGGATTCTCCCTATTATCGGATATTAGGGTCTGGGTTCTGGGTTTTGGGCGGAATAGAAGGTAGACGTTTTGTTACGGTAAGTAAACTGCAGGCGTTAGGCATGATCCCTGGCCCCAAGGAAGGATAACCCTAAACCCTAAACCCTGAAACCTAACCTTTCAAGAATGGTAGAGATGCACCGCCGAAGCTTGACAGTTATTCCGTGGACCGGGTTAACCTGCCAGTCCCAGTAGGCCTTCGTGAAGGCCCCACCCCAAAAACTTGCAGGTATTCCCTGTTAAAGGAAACTACAGGTGGGAAGTTTAGGATATATAGGGTTTCTATAAGGCTTCTATAAGGTATATAGTAGACCTTCTATAAGGCTCCTATAACGGTAACTACACACCTGAAAATGTCCTAGACCCTGGTGCAAAGACGTGAATTGACCTTCTCATCACTGCAGCAGGATTCTACCACAGATCACAAAGTTAAAGGCCACCCCTTAGGGGCTGAGTATCCTAGCCCAAAAAAGGTTAACCTTTCAAATTATAGTAGGGTATTATAAGCTCCAAAAGGTTAAAGGTTACGTGCTCAAACTCAGCTACTGAGACCCCAAACCCTAAAACCCTGCAAACCCTATAAACCCTTATAGAACCGTTATAGATCCCTTTAAAGTACTACGACCCTAAACACGAAACAGAGCCAAAGGGTTTCCCACACAGCGACAAAGCTGATGGAAGGAAGAATAAGTTAAAGGAAACTACAGGTGGGGAGTTTAGGGTATATAGGGTTCTGTAAGGCTTCTATAAGGTATTTAAATCTTCTATAAGGCTCCTATAACGGTAACTACCCACCTGAAAATGTCCTAGAATAAGTCCAGGGCCGCCGGGGTCCGAAGAGCTTCTACCTACCTCAACCCACCACCAACCTACTTTTTGGTAGGGTCCTTGTAAATCCCATATTAGGGTCTTTTAAAAAGAACCTACCAAAAAGTGGGTTTTTGGGTTAAGGTATAGTTTCCATTGTAGTTCCCTTTTTTTGGGCTAACCATATTCACATCATACGATCCTAGCCATAAAACTGGCTGACCGAAAAAAGGAACTGCAATGGAGACTACAGGTTGCGTACTTCCCCCCCCCCCCATACAGTAACAGTCTATAGTAGCCCTAAGGGTCCAGGTACTCATATAGTATATACATTTGCCGTAAAGTAGTCCCTATATAGTACATTGGGGCCAAAGTATATACTATATGAGTACATGGACCCTTAGGGTAGGGCTTCTATTCAGACCTGATTTGGGAGACCTAAACCTTGGGTACTGCTCCCATACAGTAGCAGTGTATAGTAGGGCTACTATTCAGGGCCTTATACATCCATATTATGAATATTACTCAAGTGCTTCTGAGTGGGGGCAGTATCCAACCTAAACCCTAAAACCCTAAAGCCCTAAACCCTAAACCCTAAACCCGAAAAACCCCAAAACCCTGAAACCCTAAGTGTCCAAACTACAGGCAATACTCAGATCTGAACCCTGACAGGCCCTAAACCCTAAACCCTAAACCCTAAACCCTAAACCGTTCCAAGGCCATTAAAAGAGCTTTGTGACACCACACGCAACTCCTACCGAACCTGAGGTTTATAGGGTAGTTTAAGGTTTCGTGGGTTAGGTTTAGGGTTTATTGTTTAGGGTTTAGGGCTTTAGGGTTTATAGGGTAGTTTAAGGTTTCGTCGGTTAGGGTTTCGGGTTTGGAAGTTTAGGGTTTAGGGTTCAGGGTGTAGGGTTTAGGGTTAAGGGTTTAGGGTTCAGGGGTGTTTAGGGAGCAACTATACTTACAACATGCTGCATTCTTACAGTGCCCCGAATGCCAGCCTTCCGGGCAGTCCAACTTGCAGGAGCCGTCGGGGGCCAGGTATGTGCCCTGCTTGCACCTGGGATTTAGAAGGTTCTTTAGTTTAGGGTTTAGGGTTTAAGGGTTTGGGGTTTAAGGGTTTAGGGTTTAAGGGTTTAAGGGTTTAGGGTTTAGGGTTATAATTTGTTGGCTCTCTCTCTGTTGTCGCTGGAAACCAGCCCATAAAGTCAATTGTAAACCTGAGCAAGCAGCAGTCTCATGCGTTGAAGAGACCAGTGGATTGGTGGCCGGGTGGCTCAGGACCAGCCAATCCCTATTGGGAGGCTCTTGGCTTATTCTACTGAAGCGAAGTTTGGTTTGGGTTTAAAACTTTCGGGCCCCTAAACCCTAAACCCCAAGCTATATAGGGGTTTGGTTCGGGACCCGAGGGAAAATGCGTTTTCTCGCCACAAGGCACTGCCGCTACAGTACCATGGCTGTGTGTCAGAAAATGCGTGGAGCCTCGCACGGAGGTGCGCCCAAAAGCCCAACAGGTAGTCCGGTGCTTTCCAACACTGCATAAGTCCTATTAGGTCCGCATGTAGATCTACGGAATAGCCAGGGTGTCTCTCAACATCCTCACGGAATGATTCAAAGATGATGAATATATAAGACAATGACACCCTAAATCCCAAGCACTAGCCTACCAGGGAGCGTAATGTTCGTGATGTGGTCAACTAAATCGGGTTTTGGGTTCTGAGTTTTGGGGCTACTTGCTAAACTGATTGGTTGCCAAACCGTACTACGCGCGCATGCCCCGTGCTGGTTCATTGATTGCTGAGCGCCCCAAGCACTGTCTCAAGAGAAGTGTACCCTAAGGGTCCATGTACTCATATAGTATATACTTTGGCAGCAATGTACCTATACAGGGACTACTTTAAGGCAAATGTATATACTATAGGAGTACATGGACCCTAAACCCTAAACCGCTAAACCCTAAACCCCAAACCCCTAAAACCCCAAACCCCTAAACCCCTAAACCCCTAACCCTAAACCCCATGGACCCTTAGGGGAATGTATTGCTCACGGCTTGGACCTCTGAGGCCCGGGGAGCTGCTCATGCCGATGGCAGCTTTCTGCGATGACCGCAGGGTTTAAAGTTGGAGGTTTTAGTGGTATACGGATTTATGGGTTGGGTGTAGAAATTACGGGGATTTAGGACTCCGCGATGTTTAAGGCTAGTGGCTTTAGGATTTAGGATGTGGGTGCAGGGGATTGTGTACTTAACGAGAACCTATACCGCCTGTTTACCTCAACAAATCCAGGGATCTTCAGTGTGGAGAGAGGGCCGCTGCTTACGTCAGGTTAAAGGCGAGGATGCTCCAAGTTTAGCTACATATTGACCAAGCAAGGTGCCTGCAAGTCTACACAACACCTCTAACAACATCCCACGAAGAAAGAAGGTCATCATTGCATGATCGCAAAGTTTATTAGGGTTCCGTAAGACCTAAATATAATACACAATCATATAATAAATGCTGCCTACTACGTGCATTGAGTTCTTTCTGCTCTTCCGGACACATAAAAAAGCAACACTTAGGGCTCGGGGTGCGCCTCAAGCCCGAATATCCCCAAGATGCCCGAGATGTAGGAGGCCCGACACATTCCCAGACAGATCCCTTGCGGCATCTCAAAAAGGGTTTAGGGTTTGGGGGGAGAGCCCACCGAATAGGCATCCTATTATCCTGTTACTACATGGCTGAACCCAAGCCTTTATGCAAGCGCGATCTTTTTCAGACTCTTACAGGCTGAAAAAACCCAGGGTAACCCCCCCTCGTCTTAAGGACCATGCCCACGTTTGCGCAACAGGCATGCGACCTCGACATGCCCATCCTGTACTGCGACCAGCAAAGGTTTGGTGCCATCATGCGTGGCCTTGTCCCTGTCCGCATTGGCCTCAAGTAAAAGCCGCACAACATCCAAGCGTCCATCCTGAGCTGCGACGAACAAAGGGGTAGCGCCATCATGCATGGCCTTGTCCTTGTCCGCACGGGCCTCCAGCAACAGCCGTACAACATCCGAGTGTCCACAGCGTGCTGCGATGTGCAATGGGGTAAAGCCTTCCTGCATGGACTTGTCCTTGTCCGCCTTGGCCTCCAGCAAAAGCCGTACAACATCCAAGTGTCCTGCTGCGATGTGCAATGGGGTGGTGCCATCCTGCATGCCCCTGTCCCTGTCCGCATTGCCTTCCAACAAAAGCCGTACAACATCCAAGTGTCTGTGCTGAGCTGCAATGAACAACGGGGTGCGGCCATCATTCTGGGCCTTGTCCTTGTCCGCTCTGGCCTCCAGCAGAAGCGCTACAACCTCCAGCTCCCCCTGCCGAGCTGCAACGAGCAACGGGGTGGCGCCATCACTCGCGGCCTTATCCTTGTCTGCATTGGCCTCCAGCAAAAGACGTGCAACCTCCAGGTGGCCGTGCTCAGATGCGCGAAACAATGGGGATGGACGATCAAAAAAAACAGCATCTGGGTCTTGCGGCCTTTGTAGAATACTATCCACATCCACTGCTCGGCCGCTTCTTGCAGCATCCCGGAGCGCTGTCACTTGCTTCTTAGATGATGGGCAGAAGTTTAGACGTACGACCTGCACTTCGCCGGGCCTCAAGGTGGCATCGTCATCAAGAACCACATCGTCATCCAGAAAGATAAGCCTTTGCCTGAACCTTGACAGCCCGCACAAGCTGTGCAAGTGTTGCTTCAATGCCCGGACAGGATGCATGCCTTAGTTGCTGAGTTCATAGGCCCCCCAAAAATTAATATCTCAGTTCTACAGCGGATAAACCGGTAAAGTGCACCCTTTTCGGTTCTATCGGAGATCATATTATCCCTAAAAGTGTAGCATGCACTCACTCAGCTATTAAGATGCCTGCAGGCAGGGACTCGAGGAACTGCGCCAAGTCAATCGCAACGAGATCTTCACCCGACACTGCCCGAATCTGCAGCATGTCTGGCGCTGAATGGAAGGGACTCGGCCCCCGGTTGTGGGGACGTGTCCTCCTCAACGAGGTCCCAGCTACCCTCTGATATACCTGAAATAGCCACTATTAAGGACCATAAGGGCTCCATGAAAGGGCACATGCAGGGGGGGAGGGGTTCCTGCGGGGCCTTAATGTTTCACAAGGGATTTTGTCATTCTCAAAGCAAAGTCCCATGTCTGCACCTCGTGTCTTAGGCACTAAGCTACTTCTGACAACCATCTATAATATAGGGACCGCAAAATTAATTAACATAGGGCCTTGGGGGTATATATATATATATATATTGTACCATAATGATGTGTTATAAGAGCTACATAACAAGGAGCCCCCGTTATTTAGACCCCTGTACTACCGGCGGGGCTCACTGTTGATTGATGCTTGGCTCTTGCTTGGCTAGAAAACGTGTATCTAAACTGTCCCCCCTTAAGGGTCCCTTTATAAAGGGTTCCTTAAAGGACTCTTACAAGGCTCCCTGTAAGGGTCCCTTTATAAAGGGTTCCTTAAAGGACTCCCTTACAAGGCTCCCTTTAAGATGAGGCATCACTCTAACCCTAACCTCCCAGGTCCCTACTATATAGGGCCCTAGGGGTCCTAGTGCCCTATATAGTAGGTACCTGGGAGGTTAGGGTAAGCTCCACACTGAGATCTCTAGGAATATCTAGCGCCTAAACTCTCGAAATGTTCAGATCCGGCTTCACACGAAGCTTCACAGTTTTTGTTCACCCGCAGCGCCTTTAAATGAAGGCATGAGCGCTATTCACGCAGGGTGTGGGCATGCATTAGAGTATGCTAAGGAATAGCATTCTGCTCACCGACCCCTATATATGTAGACCCCTGGCCAATAAACTCGCTCGCCTTTTGGGTTTAGGGTTATAGTTATTGTTGTCGGAATCCTAGTACTAATAAAACGGCCTGTGAAAGGGTTTATCAATCGGGGGTCTACCAACCCTAACGCCAACCCCTAACCCCTAAACCCTGAAACCCCAAACGCTAAACTCCTAAACCGTTGAGTCAAGCTCTATGCTTGGGCACTGACATGACCGGTCGAAGCCACGAAGCTGCGCAAGGCACGAGGCATTACGGTTTAGGGTCTGGACTGTACCGTTTTGCATACTGTCCAGTTTTGGTGGGAGAACATACCCCGGACCCTAGCCTAAACCCTAAACCCTTAAACTCTCAAACCTCCCTCTGCAACCTCCAACAACAAACCCAAGCCAAGCCTCATTTACAAATCCTAAACCAAGTATCCCAAATCCCCCCTAAATCCTGAGCCTTAAACCTGAAGTCCTAAATCCAAAAGCCTCAACCCGAAATCCGGAGCCCTAAACCTGAAGTCCTAAGTCCAAAAGCTTCAACCCGAAATCCTGAGCTATATAAACCTGAAATCCTAAACCCAAACGCCTCAACCCGAAATCTGTTTGCAAAAATCCACCGAAACTCTGCTGGGCTCCGCACTCGGTGCAGACTTCCGGCCCGAGACAAGTGTTGCAGGAAGAGTGGCAGACCTATGAGGCTCTCCCCTAAACCCTAAACTACACCCTATAAACCCTAAACTAAACTCTAAACCCTAAATTCTAAACCCTAAACCCTAAACTCTAAAGCCTTCATATCTTACGGCCCTTGCGATCCAGAGATCCTAGCCATCGGGTTTCTGATCCTGAGGCTACGGCTTACAACAACCAATTCCCTCGGACACCCTAAACCCTAAACCCTAAATTCCCTAAACCGTAAACCCCTAAACCCTAAACCCTAAATTCCCTAAACCCTAAATACCCTAAACCCTATAAACCCTAAACCCCCGAAGGCCCTAAACCCATCAGTCAGAACCGTAGATCCCGATACCCCAGAACCCCAAAGCCCCTAAGAAAACCCCGACAGCCATAACCCATGACGTAAGGGGCAATAATAATTAACAAATGCGGTTTTGGGGTTTATTCTACTATAAGTATAATGAGGAACCCCCAACATGGTATAGGTAATGATGAAAGCCCCGATACTACACCCCAGAACCCAAGAGCCCCAAGCAAATGTTGAAACGCTAAACCCGCAAGTTCGTGCGCACAAGCCCAGAAGGGCCCACAGGACCTGATGATCAGGGTCGTCGTATGTATATACATACAACCTTTTAAGGAACCCCTATCAAATGGCTCTGAATGGCTCTAAGGACTCGTAGTTTCAGGTTGCTGGGTCCAAGTTAAGTCCATAATGCTTGAGGTGTTCGTGAATCGCTTGAGCCTTAGTTTAAGTAAGCTGGAAGCAAACCCTAAACCCCTAGCCCTAAAACCCTCAACCCTAAAAGCCCCAAGCCCCAAACCCTAAAACACCAAACCCCTTTCGAGCTTTCAGGCAAGCCCAAAATCAAGGGACCAAAGGAGAGACCCTTAAAGGGACCCTTGGGGTTATATAGGGGCTTTATGAGACTATGTAAGGGCTATATAATGGTTATAAAGGGTGTTAGGATTTCGGGTCCCTTCTAGGGGACCCTCCTATTGTCCCTTAACAAAAGCAAGGCCGTGCCTTGCAAATACGCCCTTGATCTCCAGTGCCACTCTTGTAGTAGCCATCGGGGCATTCCTTTGTTAGGGGGTATAGGGATGCTTCAGGAGCCCCCGAAACCCTAAACCCTACAACCCTACAACCCTAAACCCTACAACCCAACAGCCCTAAACCCCAAACCCTACAACCCTAAACCCTAAACCCTACAACCCTACAACCCTAAACCCTACAACCCTAAACCCCAAACCGTACAACCCTAAACCCTAAACCCTACAACCCTACAACCCCAAACCCTACAACCCTAAACCCTAAACCCTACAACCCTACAACCCCAAACCCTACAACCCTAAACCCTACAACCCTAAACCCTTCAACCCTAAACCCTACAACCCTAAACCCTTCAACCCTAAACCCTAAACCGGCCTTATAAGGCGTCAGGGCTTCAGTGCTTAGGGCATGGGGGGCTTTAGGCTTTAGGGCCTTCGTGGTTTTCGAGTTTAGCGCTTGTAGAGTTTGGGATTTAGGGTTTAGGGTTTTGGGATTACACGCCCTGAAGCCGAGATCCGGATCCTCAAATCCTCTAGCCCGACTAAAAAACAAGCTTTGCATCCTCAACCCTAAAAGCTAAACTAGAAAAGCCCTAAACCTCAAACCTGAACCCTAGACCCTAAACCCCAAACCTAAACAATAAACCTCAACACTAAACCTTAACCCCAAACCCTAAACCCTAAACCCGAAACCATAAACCTCAACCTTGGTCCCCAACACCAGAAACGTCAAAGTTTTCGAGATCTTTTGTGGGGTTTAGGGTTTAGGGTTTAGGGATGAACAAACGTACCGGGGCTGGTTTCATGTTCCATCTCTCTGGGAGCTTTCAAACCGAGCAGCATAATCCCGAAGGAAGCAGTACCGAGATAGTACATACGTATAGGCTGTTTTAAAGTACCTACATAGGGACCCAAAACCCTAAACCCTCTTGGGCTTTCCAGTACATATCTAGGGGCCCCTTTCAAGCCGAATAGCATATACTCTATGGCTTAGGGGCCGAGTACCTTAGCCCAAAAAAGGTTAGCCTTTTGAATTATAATAGGTTTATATAAGCAAAGGTTACCTACTCAGCCCCTAAGAGGGGGACATGGGGCTTTATAGGGAACCGTGAGTTCCAACTTGCGTGCCAGGGGCGTGGTCGCACCAGTGCGTGTGCGTAAGGTATTGGCCATTTTTACAGCCTTGGCATGTCGTCGCATTCGTGCACCTTGGGCAGCAGGTTTTGTGTCGTATATGCATATACAGATACATACATGGCGTGTTTACACTTTGGGGTTTAATTTAAAGGATCGGGAAACTTCGCAGCTTAGTACAAACCTCCTGTGATGCGGGAGGCTTTGCTTGGTTTGAAGGCTTCATGGCTCTAGATGTGTAGGCTTGAGGGTTTATAGGTTTTCGGATAAGGGGGCTCGGGCTTTGGGATCGTTTAGGATCTGGGTTAGTGCGGCTGAAAGGTTTTAGGATATGTAGGGTCTAGGGTTATAGGGGTTTGGGGTTTAGGGTTTAGGGTTGCTTATGTTCATAGAGATGCAGTGTAAGAAGACTTTGGGAATTTTGGGGAATTCGGTTCTCATCGGCTGCAGGGTTCACGGCACATCTCGGGATTGAAAACGGTTCGCATATCTCACGCCACCTGAGCATCCCTCAAACAACGAGCCAACACAACCATAAGGATCGAAGTGCTCAAAATGAAACATACTTGCCAAGTGTGTTTAGTTGCCGGACACCTCGAAGTCAGGCCTGGATTGTGACCCTACGTCATGCTGAACAGTTGACAACCGTGCTCTCTCCAAACACGAATCCTGCGAACACGAAGACGGCTGCTCCACAGGAATCTACATACATATGTATATATATATAATATGAAAACTCATTTAGCGTTGATATCATGATCGTAACTACCAGGTCCCCCCAGACCCAGACCGAAAGAAGTCAGGGCTTGTAGACCTATGGCAGTGGCAGTACAACAGACCCTCCCGGTGTCAATCCAAATGCTCAAGCAAGACACACTGTGCAATTCTGTGCGCACATCGGGCATGTGCGGCCCACCTGCATCGCAGATCACCGGAGGGAGCCCTACACAAACGCTGCTTCAAACCTAGTTTCGCATGAGCTTTTGTAAATCGCACCTCAACCACAATGTCGGCTGTCTATAACACAAAGTACTATTCAGGACCTAGGTACAAGAACCTGTTCTTAAAAGCCTCATCCTCATTTTGTTTGACATCGGCTGCCGGTGTGGGTCGACAAGGTAGAAAACTTCGATGTAAGTTACTTTGGAGGGGTCCTGGTATACCCTAAATACTCAAATCCGAGGGTGCCGACAAAACGATCACAACTTCGACATCGATCCGGAGGATGCTCTGATTGCGGTGGGATTCTACAAATCCCACAAGGTGAACGGTGACATACCCCGCTTCAAT